GCGGGAGCTCCTGTCTCGTCACGGCGTGACTCTCCCAGTCCGTGCCTCAGTCCTGCTCATGGCCTCCAGCCAGGGCTGAAGTGCCTTGATGATGAGCAGGCTGGGGGATTTGGGGTCATGGAGAAGGGGTGAAAATGCTCAACTGTAGGCTGAGATTTGTGCTACAAAGGGCAGGGCAGGGCAGGGGGGCTGCAGGCCCCCAGGAGACAAGGAGGCATGTGAGGCAGCACACACAGGTGCTCCCAGAGCGGCCCTTCCTTCAAAAACAAACCTTCCTTCCATCGACATTGCAAATGTGTTTCCTGGGTTTTAAATTCCCTGAACTAAGGAACGGTGGCAAAGCTGTGGTGATCTCTGACTTGGGCTGTTTTTTTAAGCTACCGTTTCCTTCTGTCCGTGGCAGAATCTAGAGCAGTGACCTAGCCCGCCTTCCCTCTTTGTTCCACTAGGTGGCCCTTCGTGCTCTCAGATATCTGCCAGGCGTTCAGCCAGGTGAATGAATCCCATTGGCTTGCAGGAGGCATGATGCCACCGGGCAGCCCTTTTTAAGAGAAAAGCCAGGACCGGTGGAGTAGCGACCCCTGGGCAGTGCTGTCTGTGCTGATTGTGGGACCAGAGCAGCGGCGTTCAAGCATCATGAGTGAGGTGAGTGATGCTTCTAGGCAACGAGCGGACCTGGGGCGAGGGGGGACCTTGCTGCACAGCCAGGCTCCGAAAATGCGAAGGCTTTCCCGGTGTACTGAAGAACACACCAGCCCTGTAACTGTTGGCTTTGAGGACTGACACGGGTGGGTAATAGCTGGGTTTGCATGGCAAGTGCAGAAACCAGTTAAGTTTGCAACTTTTTAAAAATGTGCCTCAGAAAGAGAAAGGGATGCACTGTTTGACGCTGATTGCATTGTGACTTTGGAAAGTGCTTTGGGTTTTAGCCCTCAGAAGAGAAAGCCAATTGTTCTGGTCTCTCATGAAGATGTGTGCTTGCTCCTGCGCGTGTTTGCTTTAGGGAACACCTTTTAGGAAGCTAGCAGGCGGCCCTCTGGGGAGAGCCGGCTTCCGAAGGGCGGTGGGGTAAGGATTTCACTGCCCGGCCGGCCGCGGAGAAGCATTGCCTGAACGAACTATGTTAATCAGAGGACTAATGAGGGAAATGCAAATCGCACAGACCGTGAAAAAGATCTATGTATCTACGTGTGTGGCTCTAAGATGAAAGAGACTTTGGCAGAAGATGAGCAATAATTTTTAATTGAAAANTATGATTGTCAAGCTTGGCTGCCTATTAGAGCCACATGGATAGGTTGAAAGGCCATCCAGTTACTTTCCTTGTCCGTTGGGGTTCCAAGAAGAGGTGCAGGGAATCTTTACATCTTGGTCTGATGCTGGTCGTGTTGGGGCACCACTGCCCCAAGAGAACGGAAAGAGCTGTGGGCCAAGGGCCCACCTGCTGGGACAGGATGGAAGCAGCACTCTGTGCCAGAGGCAGCCATGGAACTGTGCGGAGCGCGCACTTGTGCTTCATGTGTAACCACGGCAGCTTGGTTCCCCCTCTGTGGCCATGCTCTACTGCTTTGTGTTCCCAGTACCAGCACCACTCCACAGCTCAAGAACGGGAGATAACTAGTTGGCTGAAAATGTCCTGGAGAAACTAATAGGGTTAAGTTGAAGGCCACAAGGCAAACACTGATCACATCCCCCTGAAGATCCTTCTGGTCTTTCTCTGGAAGTCTTCTCCAGGGCTTGCTATGTCGCCTGTATACGTCTGCTCGAGCTGCCGTAACTAAGGCCCACAGGCTGGGTGGCTTAGACGACAGAAATTTATTTTCTCACAGTTCTAGAATCTGGAAGCTGGAAGTCTGGGATCAGGGTTGATGTCTCCTGAGGCCTCTCTCCTTGGCTTATAGAATGGCCATCTTTTCCCTGCGTCTTCACAGGGTCTTTCTTCTGTAATGAGTCTGTGTCTAGATTTCCTCTTCTTGTAAGGACACAGGACCTATTGGATGACGGTCCCACCATATAACCTCACTTTACCTTAGTTATCTCTTTTAAGAACCATTTCCAAATACAGTCACATTCTGAGGTACTTGGGTTTAGCACCTCAATACAGGCAGAACTCAGAGATAGTGTGGCTTTGGTTCCAGACCACCACAATAAAGTGAATGTCTCTATGAAGTGAGTCACATGAATTTCGGGGTTTTCCAGTGCATACTATATTTATTCTACACTGTAGTCTATTAACTGTGCAATAGCAGTATGTCTAAAAAAACAATGTACACACCTTAATTAAAAATGCTTCATTGCTAAAAAATGGTCACCATCATCTGAGTCTTCAGTGAGTCATAATCTTTTTGCTGAGAGAGGGTTTTGCCTCAATGTTGATGAAAATGCAGTGTCTGCAAAGCACAACAAAGTGAAATGCGATAAAATGAGCTGTGCTTGTGTATGAATTTTGGGGGGACACCAGTCAGCCGGTAACATCATCCATCCTCTCTTCCATAGCCTTTATAACCCCCTGGTTTGTCCCAAACAGTCGCACACTCTACTCAATAGTGCCACAGCCTGGCTTGGGCACTGTCAAGCCTGCCCCTGCCCCTTGGAAACTCCAGCAACTGTTCACTGCTCCCCAAACCCCAAGCTGTTGCAAATCTATATGTGTGCCTGTGTTATGAGAAAATTCATGTCTGCATCAGAACCAGGCCATCAGCGCACAGGCAGGGTCCCTGTGTCCCTCTACTTGTCCCCTCTGCCTGAGCGCAGGCAAAACCACACGTGGGACCCTGTCAGCAGAGCCACGGGGAGAACTCATTCTCTATCTCCAAACACTGGGTCCTCGAAGTCCCCAAGTGGACAGGCGTCCCCGGGGAGGGTGTGGTTCTGCTCCTCATGTGCGAACCGGGCCCTGCTCCCTTTTCTCTGGACATCAGCAGCCCCCCTTCTTCTCCCATTTCCACCCACCTGGGGAATCCTGAAGGCATCCTGCCTGGGACCCCCAGGTGTGAGATTGGGAGCAGGGAGGGAAGGGGAAGTGAGATGGGAAGGAGGGTGCTGCAGGATATGCTGGAAGGCAGATCCTTTGTTAGTTTGCAAATGATTCGTGTGGTCGGGGTATCTAAATATAACTATCTCTCTCTCTATATCTCTATA